AATACACTGGATATGAAGCTTTCATGAGAAGAAAAAAAAGATCCAGTTAATCCAGTTAATCTCCAGGATTTTTTCAGCCTGGGGTAATCCASGCCTGTAGACAGATCTGTTAGATGAGTTTTCAGATCAAACCAGTTCCTGTAAAGCATAAGATTTCCCAGCAAATGTTGGCTTTCAGTCTAGGAAGAGCCCTGGTAACTTCTGCTGAGGTAAATATTAATACAGGAGCTGCTGTAACAACGGAAGAGTTTATCAGTAGAAAAATCTCATCAACAGGTTACAAAGATCACAGTGCAATTGACTTCAGATAAGCGTATTTGAACGGGGATTTTTTTTTTCTTTCACTTTTGATTGCTCCTTCCGTCACAGTTCAGCTTGCCACGGCAGCAGCGGATGCAGCTGAATCACCAGAAACTCCAGTGCCCTCCATAGGCACAGGGTAAATTCCAAACCCATGTAATAGGAGGGGGAAGAAAAATCAAGAAAAGCTTTTTTCCCCCCTTCCTCACTCTTTGTACTGCCAGTCTCCATCGGAACAGCTCAGGTGAACCTCAAACTTCCCGCTGAGGCAACAACAGGAAGCCTGCTCTGAGTTCATGCTGCCCCTTAACTTCAGAGTCTTGAAGTATTAGAAAGACACTTCGCAGGCCATCATTCAAGGAAGATTTGAATGGAGGAAGCTTCCTGCAAGCATTTGAATAATTGGGCAGGAGCTTAGCTCGGAGCTGCTGTGTCATTAGACAGAGCCACATGTTCCTCACCAGGCGCATCTCCTGATGCTGGTTCCGGGACCAGGGGCTTTGTGGCCTCAGGGAAGTCTTCCTTTGCATTGAGAAACTGGTGCACCTGCTTTTTATTTCACAACCCAGGGGAAACCCYCGGTTCTCAGTGTATTTCTGCGGTGAGGTGTGTAGGAACACAGCAGGCAGTAGTAGGGCCGTGCGGGAAGTGAGCTGCTCCATGCAAATCAGCGGCTCCATTATCCTCAGGATGTTTACYCTGGTTTCTTCGGCATACTTTTGTCATTACTGCCTTGCCATTAATTACTGATTCCTGCCAGGATTTCAGTTCAATTCCTGGACATACGTGGATATTACTTAAATGTAACAGTAAATAATAATCCCAGTGCAGGACGGCTTGGGGCGAAATGCTCCGTGGTTTACCTGTCCCAGCTCACCCGAACGTCTGTGCCCGTGTTTTATTCCTGTGTGCTATCTTCATTTCCCAGCAGCACGCACAGACCCGTTGGTGTGGCTGGTGGTTCCCGTAAGCCCTCACCTAGCCCGAGYTGGTGAGATCCGTGTAAAATCGCGGTGTTGTCGCCCAGCCCGGGCTGGCAGCGACTGTTCCGCCAGCGATACTCGCGACAGGCAATATTGCCCTCTGCTGGTTCCCTGCCACTCCAAGGATTCCTCTTTCCCGCTTCCATGCAGCACCACTTTGCTATGACAAATTATTTTCCAGCCCTTCTTGCTTGGAGCAGAAGGCAGCTTTCAGCCCTAATTTAGCTTTTTGGAATGCTACAGCTCAGGTTTGAATTTTTCTTACCTGGAAGCTGCTGTTCATTCCTGAGAACCTGGTGCATCAGGAAACCAAATCTTAATTACTGTTTTTAAATGTTACTAGTAATGCAGAATCCTTAATTTTTAGAATTAACCCATAGAAATGTAACTTCTCCAAACTGGTTTTGCAAGTGAAATAACTGCAAGGTTTTAAATTATTATTTGCATTCGTAGAATAAGATCTGCTTAACACCATAAGCTGGATGCTGTTTCCAGYTGCCCTCGATAATTTCCCCCTTCCCTGCCCCAGCTGGGGTGGCTGCACGATGAGCTGGCTCCATGCCCTTAGCTGTGTTAAAAATAAGCTGGCAAAAAAGAGCTATTTTTAACCCGGGTCAGTCCCTGCTCGGGGTCACAGTGCGGCTGCCCCGGCTCTCACGTGGATGTGCTGGTGTGGAGGCACAGGGGACGGCAAGAAGGAGCTGTTGGGGGAACTGAGAGCTGTTTAAAGCMTGAGCACTCCTGGAAGGTGCTTCTTGGGTGGATATTCCAGCTCTGAGCTCAGGTACTCCACCCCCCACCCCCAATACAGCTGTTTTCCCAAAAGCCATTTCTAGGACAAACAGCACCTCTGACAAAGCTCTAGCAGTGTTTAAGCACTTTTTGGTGATGATGTCCTTTGTGGCTGACTTCTCCCAGRGTAAATTCTGTTCAATTTTCCTATTTGCAGTGGTACAGTTGGCTTCATTCAGTCAGGCTTGGGTGTTTCAGATATGTAGAACAGGAGAGAATAGTTGATGCAAATCACACTTTGGTTTTGCTGTGCCAGGTGTGCTAAAGGTGGATGATCAGAGGAGGATCTGACAGCTCATGCCATGCATAGCAGTGGAGYCAATTCAGTATTTAAATCACAGCTGACGTGACGTTACACCATTTAACTAATTTATGGTGCCATCCTGCTCTCCCACAACCCATAAGGGGGAAAAGTTTGGACCATTTTTTGGGTTCTATTTGTTGAACTAAAATTTGCCTTTGTTTTTTGGGAGGTGGAAGACTGAAGGACTTTGTTACGTGACCAAGATGGGTTTAATAGTTTCAAATACTTAAAGGGAGCTAATAAGAAAGACAGAGACAGACCTTTTAGTAGAGCCTGTAGTGACAGGGCAAGGGGTAATGGTTCTAAACTGAAGGAGGGTTGACTTAGATATAGTGACGAAATGTTTACAGTGAGGGTGGTGAAACGCTGGCAGAGGTTGTCCCGGGAGTTGGTGCCTCATCCCTGGGACATTCAAGGACAGGTTGGATGGGGCCCTGAGCAACCTGMTWTAACTGAAGATGTCCCTGCTCATTTCAGGGGTTTGGACCAGATGAGCTTTAAATGTTCCTTTCAGCTGAAGTGTTTTCTGATTCCAAAGGTGTGCTGGTTCCCTGATCCAGTACAGAGGAGCTGTGCCTGGCTGGGATGTCYTTGTGATGCACAAACACACCCAGARCTGCAAGAATGGCCTCAGCAGGTTTCCCATTCCTGCATCTGTTTGCCAAAATAAATTMTAAACATACATTMAGCAAGACTGTACACATGAGAAAGAAATCCTTGTGCTTTGTGTTTCCATGGGAGAGGAGGGAYCTCCTATTTCTGGTGAACTGTAATTTGTTAGGAAGTGAATTCTCTTGACTGTTTTTTTTTTATGTGCAGCTGATGACCATGGGTTTTCCTACTCTTGGCATTTTACAGGTATATCTGCATAGACCTGGTATCACCAGCCTGATACATGCTTCAATGCTGTTTGTACAGTGTGYAAAATCCTGTAGCCTCTTGTGAGAAATGATGGCAGTTCTGCGTCTGGCATTCCCTGAGCTTTTCCTTGCCCTCTGCCTCTTGTAGTTGAAGTCGTGGTGTCATCCTGCCAGCCCTCTCCTCCTGCAAGGAGAACCCTACACCCAAGGATTTCACACTGGCATGATTCAGGCAGGCTAAATGCACAAAATGCACACAAAATGCATACTAAATGCACAAATCCTTGTCTTATCATCACTCGTGTTTTTGTGGTGTTTGCTTGTGCCTTTGGAGGTGTGGGGGATTCCAGGATACAAAAGCAGGAGGTTAAGTTGGGGATGGGCATTGAACCACTGGGGAAGGAGCATCCTGTGCTCCCAGCACAGCTCAGGCAGACGGTGTGGGGCACATCCTGGAGCCCTCCCCTGCTGCAGGGCCTCGCACTGCCCTGTGAAATGCCTTTCTAAACACGCCTTGCCTCCTTCTCCTCATGCCCTCAGAAGCAGCTCCCCGTGCACGGTTACAAGGTAAAGACAATGCAGCCTGCTGTGTTTGGAAGCAGTGCTGTGGGGCACACACAAAGCGGGTGTTCTCGCTCTGTCCCGTGTTGCGTACGTGGTGCCTTTTTCATCTTCAAAGCATTTTCCAGCCATGAACTAAGAGCACACGCATTAGCTGAGAGCACACGCCCCTCCCTGAGCAGCTGATGCTGGGCACATCCCGGGAAAAACTTCCAGAATGTGACACACCACTTTTGATGCAAATGAAGTGATGCCATATTTCATCASCTCTATTAAAAGCACTTAAGTAATTGAACTAAGGAAACTTTAAAAAGCTTTTGAGAGACAAACGTGGTACAAGCCTTTGTTCCCACTCTTTCCCCCTGCCCTACACTTACCCTCCTCCTTATTTTTCCTGTTGAACATACTTGGTTGGCTTTTTGGTATCTGTTTGCTTTTCAATTTGTGGTTTTGCTGAGTTTTTTGTGTGTTATGGTAGTTGATATTTTTAGTTTGCAGCACTAGTACTGTTACAGTTTCTGCAGCAAAGGAAAGTGTCATCTGCAAAACAGCATGAGTATGATGGGAGGACTTCATCTTTCATACCAGTCTTTGCAAACAYTGGGGTTTATTTCCATTGTGTTCATCGGCCTGTGCTGTGTGTGCCTGCCTTGCCTCTGGACTGTGTTTGCCTCTCACAGCTTCAACATGATTTCTCATCTTCATGTGGTCCATCACACATCTCCACCATCCTTCCAGCTGTGATGTCCAACATCTGGCCCCTCTGAACCCACGTGGGCTTAATTTTTCTCCCACCAYCCCTGTATAGCCAGTTTGGGTATTTATCTCTCCTTTCCTTTAACTTTTTCTCAAGCAGGACAGTCCAGGTGAGCTGGGGTGTGATGTCATGCTCTGCATAGGACAGAAATCCTGTCCAGGGCCATGTGCTCCCTCACTCTGCCTCTTAGGAAAAAGGGAATGGTGGCCCCTGAATCATTGTATCTGGTGGATGTTTTTGGGGGGCTTCAGTGTAGTGACCGGCCAGTGATGGAGCTTTCTGCTCCAGACACACTCCCTGATCTGCAGATCCACAGGACTGTCTGTGGATAACCACAGCCAAGACACTGATGTCCAGCCCATTTCTGAAGGGTGTTTTTCCCAGGCTACATGTTTGCATTTTGGGTGCAGCTTACTCTTCTTGCATTTTTTTTCTTTTTGCAGGAGAGGCAGATGAAGAAGCCTTTGCCGAGGAGTGCCGGCGGAGAGGACAACACTCGCTGCCTTTCCAGCAGACCACCCCTCGGCTGCTGAAGCCTCACAAGGCTGCCAGCTCCCCCCGCATCGCCTGCCATTACAATAGCGATGAGGCAGAAGAACAAGACAGAAGCCGGGTCACGAGCAGCTTCGAGGCCCCTGTTTATTTATCAGGTGTGCACAAGCATGTTGGTGAGAAAAGTGCAGAGAAGGGCCCATCACGTAGTCAAAAGCCAAACCTAAAAAGGCACGCAAAAAGATTGTGCTGTGTGTTGACTTAATGTTAGCTCCCTGGCTAGATAATAAACAGCAGCTTGTTTGACTTCATCCTGCTTTAGCTCTGATCTTCCATTTAGCCTAGATTCACTAACGCCCTGGGATATTTAAGGATCCAGGGCAGATATTGTTGTGCTGCTGAAGTGCCTCTGCTCTTTGTTGTTAAAAGTGAAGGCATTTTAGAGGTTAACTCATCACAGTACTTTGCACATTCATTTACTTAAATTGTGCTTGGCTTCCTTGTCCAAAGAGAAGTTYGGCAAGTTGATACTATTTCTGGAAGCTGCAATTTTAGGCAACTAAATCCTAATAGAGAAGGCTGAGACCATTCAGGCAAACGTGGCAASGTGGCAATTGTCAATTTGGTTATTTTTGGAAGTAATTAGTCCTTTGATATATTCCCAGTCTGTAATTTTTTGGCAATGTAGTCCAGAGGCTATCTTGGACAACAAAGTTCTCATGACTACTTGATTTAATTGGAACCTRTGGTCAGAGATCATCCAGGACTTCAAGGTCAGGTTCTTCTGATTCATATAAGATGCCTTTCCAGCTGGATGCCCAAAGCAAGGATCCTTCTCTGTAGTGTAAAGTCAGGTGAAGTGCTGGGAAGTGTGAGCCTGTGAGGCTTCTCAGGGTAAATAGAGCTCATGAAAAATATTCACTGTACCCCAAAACAGGTGCTTATGTACTGCCAGTGCTGTACCAACTTCCACTGTGTTTGTGTGCCTTTAAACGTAACACTGTCTTTTGTGTGGAACACCTGAAGATATCATGAAGGAGGACATTGAAAAAATAGAATAATTTAGATGTATGTCACCCTGATCAGGTGCTGGAAGCTTTGTGTCTTTAAAGATGACCAAGTTAAAAAAAAAAAAAAAAAAAAAAAAAAAAAAAAAAAAAAAAAAAAAAAAAAAAAAAAAAAAAAAAAAAAAAAAAAGTTGCAGAGGCCCAAATGTAACTTCTGTGCTGATGTCCTGAAACCTCTCAAGCAAAGGCTTCAGGTTTGGTCTCCTGTGTCTGTGGCTGGCAAAAGAAAACCTTGGCTCTGCCTTTGGAGACATGAGATTCTCTGTAATAACAATATTTTGCAATGGATTTCAAGGAGCAGCTGAGTTTGACATGCACCGTGCAGTTTTTGGAGCAATTTTTAAGATTGCTTAGGACTTTTTGCTGTGAATTTATTTCTGCTCCAAGACGCACAAGTTTGCAATTCAAATTAATTTCCAGAAGTATTAGRGCAATCACAAAATGCTCTCTTCTACTAGTAGATTGTGAGTTTCCAAAAAAGACTCAGGGTGAAAACTTGATTGCAGTGAGACTGAGATTTTGCTGYCGCTTTAAATATTTTGCCTACTGTTCCTCTGATGGACAGGGCTGCAGAAGGACTGGTCGGGTCAGTCATAAAAACCTACGTGAGTGTCTTAATCTCTCCCTGGGGAGTTTGTGCACGGGCCCTGGCCAGCGATGCCGTTCCCCTTCATGGGCTCTCACCTCTGCCTTGCCCAGCGAGCAGCTCCACCAGCACAGCTCTGTAATTACAGAGCCCACCTTCCTCGCTTGGCTTCTCCTCCATCACTGCCGTGCTTGCGTGGGCCGGCGTTGGGAGACAACAGCTCCTTTCTGCCTTGCTCCAAAGCCCTCTGAATTCACTGGGAAATAGTTAAGCTCAGTGGCCTCAAGCCAAGTGCAGTTCCACCTCAAATCAGACGTTTTTGCCACTGCTGATGTGGGGCCCTTGGCAGCGGGACCGTGCAGCGGTTTTAGATGTTGTCCYAGTTGGAGCATCTCAGGTAAACCCTCAGTCATTAATGATTCACCCACAGTGAAGTGGTTTTATTTTCCCAGCTCTAAGAATGGGAATGTTTAAGTTTTGATTTGTAAGTCCATAGAAAATTTAAATGAAGAAGAAGGGGATAGGTTTCATCTTGACTATGTGGTGGGAATCCCTCTGGAAGTGGCATCTCTCTAGTGCCCAAGAGGAAAGGCTGGCCAACTCCTTTAGACTGGCAATATCCAGAGGTGAGATGAAGCCTATCCTTAGTCAGGATTGCTAGTCATCACAGTGGGTATTTAAAAAAAAAAAAAAAAAGAGTTTAATTCTCCAGTCACCATGGACACTTCGTGTTTTAACGGAAATTGCTCTGGAAACTGTCCCTGGTTTTGCAATGGYCTTTTAGAATGAAACTTCACCTCTCACACTCTGAAGTCCCTGCATATCTCGAACAGTTCTCTAGCTCCAAGCAAGGAATTTTTGAAATGAGGATGCGGATACTGGAAGTGATGTGCTCCCTGATAATGTGATGTTCCACTGACTGGTGGGATCTGAGCTGTGTCAAAGTGCTGTTAATGCCAGCAGAGACCAGGGGATGGCAGCTCTTAATGCCAGAGGCAGTGGTCACTACCCCTTAAAAACTACTGCTTTGGATTTGCGAGTTTTGACCTTTATCCAGCAAGAATGAGTGAAATGTTTCATTGTTAAAATAGTGAAAAATATATGATATAAATTTCATTRTTTGGAAGATAATATTGCAAGGTTTGCTCTTCCTTTTCAATGAAATAGCTTGCATTAACCTACAACTTACAACATTAATAATTCATTTTTTGCTGCATTTTCATCTGCTGTCATCTGTGAAGAGGAAACTGCTCTAAAAGAACTAGCTTAACTAACCTTTATCCTCTCCTGGCATGGATTCCTCTGCTGGAAAGTTGAGCTGTTTGTTCTTAATTTAATCTTTAATTTAGTCTCTGTTCTTTTTACCAATATGCACTTTCYTGAATTACACTTTAATAACTAGTAACAGTGATGTGCTTTGTTACCCAAACTAATTACTTTATAATTCCACCGCAAACTTCATTTTTGGGCATGGAAAGAGAAAGGAAAGCAAAGCCACGTTTTTTTTGTGGAAATCTGATATGTGAGAAATGCTGCAGGTGCAGAGATGGAGTTCCCCCTCCGTTTGCTCCACATCCCCTGCTGTAACCATGCAAGTGGGACAGGGGAGCAGCCCAGGGTGGGAAGGCTGGCCAATGGATTTGGATACTGGCTGGTTGCTCCCAGGCTTAGCCCAAAGCTGCCTTCATTCATGGGGTTTTGGCTGCTGGTACGAAATGATCCCCTTACCCATCAGAGATAGCTGGGTTGTACGTGGAAGGGCTTCCATGGCTGCATAGCCTTGCAAGTTTTCGCTTGCATTTGGGAGTAAAACCTTGGAAATCTATTCAGTCCTGGTGCTACCCTAATGAACAGCAGGCAAAGAAGGTTGTATCTGGCTTGGCATGTTCTTGTGGCAATTCTAGGCAGGATTGGTAATGAAAACAGCATGGTGAACAAGCATGAAGGAAAGCCTCTGCAAGTGGCTAAAGCTTTTCAGTCCCCTAAAACATCAAAGCTGGGATTACATCACTGGGTTGGCCAGTGAAACTGGAGAGCTCACCCCTGGGATCTAACAGTGTGGATAATTAAATAGTGGAGCAGCATACCTAGACAGGGTGGGAGGGTTTGTCACCCCAGGTCTTGACTAAAGGCTCTCTCTTYATGATGCTCCATGGCATGGGCAGGAGCTGTGGCTGAGGAGAGGGAATTAATAGGTCAGGCTGAGCTCTGCTGGGCAGTGGCTTAGGCTGAAAGGAGGGGATGTGAAAGTGTAAAGTGATAATTGCCTATTGAGTCACACATGAAATGATACTGAAGCTGTGATCTAGGGTAGATTTCTACAATGGCTCTTGTGAGTGGTCAGTCTGAAATAACAGAGGGCRGCAGCAACTCAGAAGTAAGCCAACTGCCTTTGAAATAGCAGTTTATTATTTTGACTAGAGAGATATTTCTAAGAGCAGCAAATTAGAAAGAGCACTACACAACCCAGCCTGAAAATGCTTCACTGCCCTGTTAAAGCTCKGTGAGGGTGTTGGGGCCATGGCTGCTGCCGTGCTTTGAAGGAGAGCCACAATCTTAGCAAAAAGTTGGTACATCTTGGAGAATGTTTTCACTGAGGCTTGAGCAGAAAGTGTGAATCCCTCCCACCCCCAACCTCAGTGTTTCTCTCTGAGAGTGGAAGGAGGCTCCTCCAAAGTCTTCACCYTAGCAGATCTTCTATAAAAATCACGCTGTGGCCTTTATTGCTCACTGATGTGTGTCAAGCAGCAGCAATGCTCTCTCTTAATTGTCACTTGTGASCGAGCTCTTTGTTTCCTTCTGGTGACTCCTCTGCTCCTCTGTGCCAGCAGAAGGAAGGCAGAGCAGACCCAGGGCAGGGCAGGAAAAAGTAGGACAGCAGAAATGTGTTGGGTAGGAGTGTCTTCCCCGGGCCACGTGTGCCTTTGGATCGGCCGCCCAATGTGCTCACCTCCCTTGCAGCCRCCACCCAAGAATGTGACGAGTTTCACAGTCAGGGACTGAACAAACTCGTGACTTTGGGAGTGCAGATGGCAGGGAAGCAGAAAGCCAGGAGGAAAGTCAATCTGGGACACAGCAGAGAAGCTTCCCAGTTTGTTTGGGTCCTTGCTGAGTGATGGTTTAAGGAGTTGCTCCGAATTGTTTCTGGAAGTTGTTTCCAGCCTTCAGCAGCCTGTGCTCCTTATGGCTCTCCTGCAAGTAGAAAAGGAGGGGATGAAAGGAAAGAGTGGCTTAGCTGATGCTGTTTGTTGTAGACAAGAATTATCCAAGCAGTAAAGCAGGTGTAATTCCAAATGGTGTGGATTCTTGCTTCACCTATCTCTGCTCCTGGCAGCTGCCAAAAGCAAGAAACACCGAGTTAGAGAGATCTCTATCTGCTGGATCTGTTTTCCAAACTTCACAGCTTGGGGAAGCTCTCGTCAGCCTGTTCTCCCTCTGTCCTGTGAGGCATTTCTGGAGTTTGGGTGGCTGCAGATTGCTGCTAAGACTGGAAATTTGAAAAGCCCTTCTCCAAGGCCAGCAGGGTTTGGCTGAAGCCGGTTCAGCCTGGCACTTACTGTGGGAAGTTTCTATGGACACTTTGGGATGCTGGCGACTCGCCAGGACATGGGCTCACTGCAGAGCAATCAGTCATAGAACTGCTGCTTTCTAATTCAGATTTTGTTGTCTCATGACTTTGGGGCTAGTCTTGTAACCAAGGCATCTGAATATGCTTTTAATTAGTTCTRGTTGAAGTATTTGAGTGAAATACGCACCGAAGGGTTGCATCTTCAGTGTGCAATTCTTATTTATGTTAGGAACTGCTTCACTTGTTTGGATCAGGTTTTTGGCTGTTATCACCCAGCATAGCATCRCTGGAGCAACAGACTGGCAAAGTTTGACCCATCCTTTCTTCTTAGGTGGGGGTAGAAAAGGAAATGGCAGACAGTGAAATTATTTATCACAGCAGGCTCAAAACAGAAAAGACCTGGCAGTTTTCTCTTGAGGAATACTCTGTGTTTGTGTGTTATCTCCTCCTCTGGGCAATCTCTTTCTGTGTGTCAGTGATAACGCTTGAAAGATTTCCACTTTTCAGCCTTATCATTCCAGAGGCTGGAAGGAGACCATGTTGTCAAATGCCTAAATGTCTTCATACCGCAATATTTTAACATTTGAGTTGTTTCATTTRTAAGACAATGAATTATGTGGCATTCACTTCCAGTCATAATTTACATTGGCTCACAGGATTTTTAAGGAACAGTTGCTAGAATTGCTTTCAAAATCTCAACCATTTGAGGAAAATGGAGTATTGCAAAAAAAAAAAAAAAATTGTGATATAAAATAGCATCCTATGCTATCATGCCTTAATGTGGAAGCCTTTTAGAGATACTGACACTGTTTTGAGAATGAAAAATGAAAAAAAAAATTACAAAGCTAGTAACCTGCAAGGGCTTAATGATCCTTTCCTAAATATCAGTGTTATTGTTT